CTAATCCCCACCAGGTTTTAATAGTAGTGACTAATCACCACCAGGCTTTAATAGTAGTGACTAATCAGCACCAGGCTTTAAAAGTAGTGACCAATCACCACTAGACTTTAATAGTAGTGACCAATCACCACCAGGATTTACTAGTAGTGACTAATCACCCCATGATTTAATAGTAGTGACCAATCCCTGCCAGGCATTAATACTAGTGACCAATCCCCACCAGGTTTTAATAGTAGTGACCAATCCCCACCAGGTTTTAATAGTAGAGATCAATCCCCACCAGGCTTTAATAGTAGTGACCAATCCCCACCAGGTTTTAATAGTAGAGATCAATCACCACCTGGGTTTAATAGTAGTGACCAATCACCATCAGGCTTTAATAGTAGTGACCAATCCCCACCAGCCCTTAATAGTAGTGACCAATCCCAACCAGGCATTAATAGTAGAGATCAATCCCCACCAGGCTTTAATAGTAGTGACCAATCCCCACCAGGTTTTAAAAGTAGTGACCAATCACCATCAGGCTTTAATAGTAGAGATCAATCACCACCTGGGTTTAATAGTAGTGACCAATCACCATCAGGCTTTAATAGTAGTGACTAATCACCACCAGGCATTAATAGTAGTGACCAATCCCCACCAGGCATTAATAGTAGAGATCAATCCCCACCAGGATTTAGTAGTAGTGACCAATCACAATTAACTGACACAAATTGCAATACCTGACCCATTATTATTCATGCAGTACAAATAGTTTCTAGGTTCTTGTAGTCTATTGTGAATTGCGAAGTAAACTGAAAACATTCCAATTTCCATCCTATGTAAACCTGTCTGTAATACTGCAAAAACGTCACGCCCACTCAGTCTCCCTGCTTACACTTTATACGTTATTGTTCTACCTTTTATTGCTATTTTTGTGCAAAGTGATAACAAAACAATTTTATATAACCCTACAACATTTGAGAGTAAATTGGTAATCCTACTCTATGACCACTCCCTGTGAAAGTAAGAGCTTGTATCAGGTAACCAAGTGAAAATAAATCAAAACATATAAACTTGATGGACCAATCAAAATCCGTGTACCATGACTAGTTACAAACCTCTTGTGATTTGGTATGCGATGTCACTTGAGACAAGAAACCAGCTAATACAGTAAAGCACAACAAATTTCGTTTATACAAATTTTCATATTCAAGCAATATGGGACGCCATATTCTCAGATATGAAAACAGTTGTCATTTGTATTCAATTGTTACTTACCTTATGTCTGTCAATATTCTTCATATATGTTAGATCTGTTTTATCTGAGATGCCACCGTGAACAACTAAGATTTTAGCATCAATGATTGTTGCTAGTGGCAACCAACTAAAAACATCTTCAAACAACCTCACAACTTTGGTTGCATGTTTCTGTGTGTAAGAAAGTAAAGTTTGAAGTGATTATTTTTGTAAATTATCTTACACCCTTCAATGAGGGTTAACAGTATAAACATAGATTGAATGAATCACCTCATCAAATTTAACAACTTCAATTCCAGTAGATAGATAGATGTGGAAAAATAAATCACACTCATTTCTAACTTCAGATTTCTTCTAGTTTACATAGGATTCAGTTTAAACTGGTTTACACAGGTTTCAGTTAAGAAAGGTTTCCAGTTTCAATGATTCAGTTAAGAAAGGTTTCCAGACCACACAGGGTTCAGTTTGGAAAAGTATGCAGCAAATAGAGGCTTCAGTTCACACAGAGCTCACTAATCACAGGTTTCCAGATCACAGGGTTCAGTTTTGAAAAGTTTCCAGCAAACACACGATTCAGTTTGTACGAAGTTCAGTTTAGAAAAGTTTCCAGCAAACATAGGGTTCAGTTTGAAGAGTTCAGTTAAGACAGGTTTATACAGAGTTCAGTTAAGACAGGTTTTCAGCAAACATAGGGTTCAGTTTACACAGAGTTCAGTTAAGACAGGTTTTCAGCAAACATAGGGTTCAGTTTACACAGAGTTCAGTTAAGACAGGTTTTCAGTAAATATAGGGTTCAGTTTACAGAGTTCAGATAAGACAGGTTTTCAGCAAACATAGGGTTCAGTTTACACAGAGTTCAGTTAAGACAGGTTTTCAGCAAACATAGGGTTCAGTTTACACAGAGTTCAGTTAAGACAGGTTTTCAGTAAATATGGGGTTCAGTTTACACAGAGTTCAGTTAAGACAGGTTTTCAGCAAACATAGGGTTCAGTTTACATAGATTTCAGTTGAGACAGGTTTTCAGCAAACATAGGGTTCAGTTTACAGAGTTCAGTTAAGACAGGTTTTCAGTAAACATAGGGTTCAGTTTACATAGAGTTCAGTTGAGACAGGTTTTCAGCAAACATAGGGTTCAGTTTACAGTGTTCAGTTAAGATAATATTTGCATTATGAATTCAATGTGATTCATCAGCTTCAACAGAGAATTGAGGTGTACATGAGAGAGGAGAGAAAATTAAAAAAAAAAGGTCGAGGAAGAGAGAAGCGTCTGATTGGTGGCGCTCTTCCCTACCTCTAAAAACGTTTCAGAAATATATCCTCTTTCATTTGGCCTCAAACTGCTTTTGTCAATCTACAATAAACAAAACATAAAGCAAACAAAACACGTAGGAATAATAATACAAAACTGGGTATCATACAAACCATCACAGTATCACGGGCGGGTGGTCAACATGGACGACGCGGACAGGAAGAGACACTGAAATACAACTAGGTTAATAAAAAGATGACCTACTTTATATATACCTACTCTGTATTTACTCATGACTTCCTTGATGAACCCATATCTGAAAATAACCAAATAGCAGAACCATAAAAATCCTGAAAAATATTATTTTTATTAAAGATTTAATTTGCTGATATCTCAATTTCAGTTAGCATCAACTGTAAATAGGAATGTTAATATGGTGTATCCCGCACAATAAATAAATTACCGGTAATATAAGGCAAGTTATACTAACATCATTTAATGACTGTGTTACAGTCGGTCGTTTTTAATGACATGCTATGCCATCTGCCGCATGTGCAGGTGACGACTCCCCCGTTTTAATGCTATGACGAACAATCAAAGCAGGTAACATGATAAACATCATGATAATGGTGATTATTGTAAAAAAAAATTATGACAAATTCTACTGTTTCTTTCATTATAGTCTGTTTCATTTAAAATTTGCAGTTTATCTTTGTTTTGGCATTGTTTTCTATGGTCAAAGTATTTTTTTAATTTCTGAAAATTTCACTGAGTGACATGAATTTTATAATGTATTGTGATATATATGAATAAAATTGCCAAAAAAATATTGTTTAATAAGCAATAATAATTAGTCATTATATACAATGGGAAGTTATCTACCAAAATGCAATGTATATGCACAGTAATGATGTGCAATTGTGTACAATTTGTTTGCTGATTTCCCTGGTTCCCGGCATTCTAATTATTTTGTCAATTTTGGACATAATGGGCATATTATAATTGTTTTCATTTGCTACATGTCTTGGTTAAAACATTTGAAAAAAAATATATTTTGAGAAAGGTGAGGAATGTTGACTTTTAGTTTAAAGGTTAATGCACTATTTTCGTAGCTATATTAGACACATAAATCAATACATTCCAAGCTAATATTATTTACACACACATAGCACAGCAAGTCTAGTATGACAGCGATCAGTTTTCTTTTGGCAGCTACTCACAAAGTGTACATGTCATTATGACGTCTGTTTTCAATAACGCAAAAAGATTAGTAGACAATTTTATACTTTCAATTTCAATGGAGAAAATTAATAACAGATACTACAATAGAAAAAAATTCATGCTTTTTTATTGAATAGAATACCCCGAAGATTACATTCCATTTTCAATATGACAGATTATTACTTCTTAAATATTTCATTTCCACATTTCATTTGTCCTTGAAAACCTGGATGGTGATTGCAGTATGGTGAGGAAAGACTAGAAATAGTTTAATCTTTCAAGATTTGATAGAAGGTCAAAATATCAAACATACACATTTCATGTGACATAAAATTTAACATTCACAATATAAAACATGTATGGAATTTCGTTTCTATTTTCTCACTGTCTTATTGTAATGCCTTGTATAAAAAGTGTCCAGTTTTCAATAGCCATGTAAGATGCACGTTGCATATTTGATGATTTAATGTTTAAGTACAATAAAGCCAAGTAAAATGATGTACCGTAAAATCTGTATTAAAAGCCGCATCTCTAATATAAGTCGCACCCATCCTTTTTGAGCAATTGAGTACCAAACATTTACATTTTCTCATATGTGTAGATGCTCTAATTGAAGCCGCATTCCTTCTTTTGCATTGTACCATTTTAATAGAAGCCGCAGCTTCTAATACAGATTTTACAGTACCCGGTGATTGGTTGAGTATTTTACTTTCCTATGATCTCACTGAACAAAACTGCATTTAGGAACTGGACACAACATTGGGGCCTACACGACCAGATTAAGTAACAACAGACAATATAAACATAAGAATCAATAAAGAGGAAAACAAAATATCCTATTTTTAAGGGGATGTGGTCTCTTTTGTGTAAACAAAGTGGTTTTTTTACACCCATTGGTGTTATATGGACCCACCATATAAGCAATAAGCAAGACACACACAATGCCCACCAAAATATTTACACAATGGATGTGAAATCCATATTTCAAAAGATTATGGAGAATAAGATAGCCTTAGAAAAATATTTGAAGAGCACAATTTTTAAAACCACAGAAAGTAATTAATTTTTATTTTTTTATTTTACTGACATTTTTTCTTTTATTTTCCCTTTCAATTTTATCTCTTTTGTATTTCCTTGTATTTATGTTCTTTATTATACAAATCCCCTCAGAAGATTTTTAGTAGTGTAATAAAGTTATTATTATTGAACCAAATGAATTCTCTTTGACCATAAACTACAAGTTCCTAATCTCTGTCTCATGCCTTTACAAGTATACGCAGCATGACAGTAGTTGACAATGACATTTAAATTAGTAGTTGGTATCAAGCAACAGACGGTGATTGATATACTGTCACCACCACTTCTTGTCAACAGTATTGCTTTATGTGTGTCAATGTCAACTTGTTACTACAATCAATATATCTAAAATTGGCGTACATTGGAGTCATTTTAGGTTGCTATTGATAGTGATTGGGACCATGAAAGCCTGCATACACAAGTAATCAATCTGAAAATGCATCATTCTTACAATAGTATTAGCTATCAAGCACATCACATTAGGTTTACCCTTCCAGTAATCAAACCTGCTAGATTAAATTTGCAGAATAGATTAAAGAATATTCATGATCACCAATCAAAAAACTGCTGATCAATGAACATCTATCAAACTTATTTTAAAGTGCCTGTGAAATGCCCATCAATACATTTATGTTTTTTGTTTCTTTTGCAGTGAAATGAACATCTCGTATAAAAAAAAATTTAAATCATTAAAGTGACAATAGCTGTGATTTTGAACATTTGTTTGTCTAAATATAATCAAATAAAGATGAAAAAATCTAACTGGAATATCGTTTTAGATACAGTTGCATAGGCAAAGTGGTCCTACTCAAGGTTAATATCACAGAAAATGAGATGTGAAAACTAAGGGTCAAGTAGTCGTCATTTTGTTAAATCAATCACATCGTGAACACTACAAAATCAGATGCATGCAGCACACTGGTATGTAAATAATACATTAAATCACCATTGAAACGCCGTCAGTGAGTGGCTTAGCCTCTCAAGACGGCAATGCAATTGACATTTCACCTAGGGCCTTGGTAATTTGTCATCTTGTACCATAATCCTTGAGGTTCACCTACAAAATTGAATTTGAATAGAGGGCGCCCTCTTGAAAACTGGACGTAACCCTGCAGCCATTTTTTTTCACTTGCAAGTGATTTAACGTACAATGTTAGTACATGTATATAGTGTTCATGTATTAGTGTCCACATTTCGACAATGGCCATTACAAATTAACACTAATAATAATGACTAAGGAAATGTTTCATCAAACAGAGAAAAAAGTTTGATAGTTACCGCTATTGTTGCTTTAAATAATGAATCATCTGAAATCAATTGAAGAAAGATTCTGAGTTGTGGCCACACCCTCTTCCTGTCGCAGTCAACTGTTTCTGGCTTTCTGACTTACCCCAAAGTGAAACTGTGCCAACTAACATCAGACACAATAGGAAGCCATGCAGGTGCCATCCACAGAATACCATAGTTGTAAAACTATTCTCTTTTCAAGTGTGGACATTTCTAGTATGCTAATAAAAATCATGGTTGTGTTGTAAATGTCTGTAATTTTATTTTATTTCCATGGGTACAAAATATTATCAAACAATCCATCTTCTGGCACAGTCAGTATCCCAATATGCAATCACTAATTTAAAAGTACGACCACCGCTTAAAAAAGACATTGGCGAGTGAAACTGAAAACTGATTACAGAGGGAAAACTCATGATATACCATTGTAAGCCACAATGACAGGCTGCAAATTTAATGTAGGATAAATAGGTCCGAACTCCCATAAGTTATTATAGAACTAATAGTACAGTACATTTGTCGTCTGAGATTGTATTTAAAAAAAATGAGTGGAAGTTTATTTAAAATTCAATAAATAATAAATTTGAACTTTGAAACTTGTTTTTTTTTATTTAAATATTTATTTCATGCTGGACATCAAGGTAGCAAGTGTTTTACAGGCATTTTAACAAACCAGTGATCTGCTGAATATTCATAATCTGGCACTTTAACCAATCAAAGACCTGCTGATTCATGAACAGCCTTAACAATCGGTGATCTGAAAGAATGATCAAGATCACATGCTAACCAACCAGTCACATATTTAGTTTTCTATAGATTTTTGGAGTTGAAATGGTCAATTTTGGGTCAAATGGATACAGATTCACAATGCCTATAGGTCTTATTAAAAAAATTTTACATCAACTTTCAGAGAACATTGACGCAGGTTTTCCTACAAATTCTAAAATCATGATTAGCATGGAAAAGTACCTGCAGTTACATGTTTTTCATAGCTCAGTGCCATTTAGTTAACAAGACGGTGTGAACAACAACTCAAATCTGATGCAGACAGACGTACTACTGTACTCGATGTACATTCCCCTTCAATAAAGATTAAATGTAAATGATACAATAATGCACTCAACAGAATGTATTACCGATAGTCAATTGAGGGCAAATAGAAAATCTAGACCCCTATAAAGAAACAGAGCACAGCAGGATGATTGAATTTTCCAACCAAAAAATTATGGGCTATGTCTGAGCAATTTTCCTCATTCCTCATTAAATGCACAGCAGCGTAACAAATTTAGTAATATATATCTCAGTAAAATTTTGCTTCAATTGGTTGAATAACTGTCAGTCATGCATAATCCCGCATTCCCATATTCTGGCTTATTGCAAGCATATTATCATTGAACATCTGAGCTCGCCGCCCATAGTACTGAATGTCTTGAATCTGAAAGAACTAGTGTTGATGTGAACGAGGCTTTATTGCCATATGTTAACACCTTATTATATGTATATAGCTTAAAATTTGCTCATAATGTAGAGCATAATAGAACTATTCAGATTGGGAATTTGGATTTCAGGGATCTTAAGTTACATTAAACAAGCCATGCATGGCAAAATCCCCGTTAGTTATCAAATTTAAGATATATAGTTTTGTTTACAGTAATATAGCTGGAATATAACCATGTCAGGAATATGATTTTTTAACGTTAAAATGATTGACATTTGTATCTGATCGTCAAACTAGTACTTGTCCATATTGAGAGATATTGCTTTGGAACAGCATTCAAAATCAGCCATCATATATAACATGATGTATAACGAATATATAAAATTTGAATATAATCAGTCAAAGCATTTAAGAGATATGGCTCTAGAACCCCAATCATTAAAGCAAAATGG